ATTCCTGACAAAGACAGCGAAGCTTCGTTAGACAAATAAAGGATAATATGGCATAACTGTATGCACCTTGGTGTAAACTCAATTAGAGCTGCTGTTGTTTGTTTGTTTGTTTTTTTTATTTAATTGTATTTACTGATTGACTGTGGGGCAAACAAATTTAGCAGAACACTGGATTAGAAGAAGTCACAAGAGACTAAAAGCCTACTACACTGACCATAAAAGGTCTAGGCCTGGCTCCAAATGTACCGTCATGCAGAAGGAATGCATTTTATTCCACTGCTTTGTATAATGTTTCTGTTCTGTTGCCATTAATTCTTTTTGATCAATATTACAACAAAACTATGCACCAAAGTTATGGTAATGGTACCTACAGATCTCAACCTTCTGTTCTGTCACAGCTCTTTTCCAGTTGAATAGATCCTGTGTTCATCCTTGTATATTCTGATTTCCTCAAATACTGTACTTGATAATTCTGAGGTATCTCTAGGCCAATTTGCTGGAGCATTTTCATTTTCTGCTACCTCAACTTTTCTGTGTTTTGAAGGTGAATATTGTGCTTTTTATTCCACTGCAGTTATTTGATAACGATAAATCATATTCATTTTCTTTATCTTTCCTGTTGCTCCCAAGTTTACGAGCTACCAAGCACAACCCAAATTATATTAGCTTCATTTCAACATCTGCAACATTAACGATGTACACACTAATGCCACAGTAATTATAATCCAATAATATGACATGCATTGATGTGAAATGTGCCAATCTGCAGATTTGATACTAAACCATTAACCATTACGAATGCAGGACTTTTCCATATACCCTGACAGAGTAGGCCATTTTTTACCCTAGTTTTGCTTGAGTAAAGAATATAAACTACTTTTCCACCACTGTTAATTTTCTGAAACATAACGTAGTGTGTTATTTCCAACACCCAGTGGGTTTCGCAAAGACGTCTTCGTTTCAGATTTTATGAACATGGACGTTGGATCATGCTAAAACATGAGACGAAAGGTCTTTAAACATTTGCGCAATCAAGCCTGGCCACATTCTGCACTAATGGACTCGTCTTCTTGGCTCTTGTGGTTGTAGAGAACATGGGCAGGATGGTATTTGTAAAGGCTGTATAGCTGTCTGTACTGTCCCTCTCTGAGCCTCGCCTCCCTCTCTCCCTCCCTCTCCCTCCCTCGCATCACACCGGGCGTTGCCTCGCTCACCATAAATTCCTGAGTAAGCTGTTCGTGAGTTCGGCCATCACCAGAGCTCTTCACCGAACACCAAACTACACTTTCTGCCTCTTCGCGTCTTGGTAAGTTTAACAGGCTATAATTATCTTTTCACTAATGTATTTTAACTGTTGTCTCGCGTTTTCCCCCAAAGTTGCGTCATTTCATACAGAAAACGTACGGTTTTAATAGAGACCAAAGAGTGTTACTTTCAGTTGCTGTGAGTATCTTACAAGCTTTATTACTAGTTACCTATAAAAGCCTGCTTTTTGCACACTTTAGGTGTGGTCTAGTATGCGTCAGCTTGTTTTCTGGGACGGGCCATGGGTGTTGCCCCAAGCGACTGGCCCTGTCTGTTTCACTTCCCTTCAGTTATTTCACTTATTTTTGTCTTTAATTTTTGTGAGCCTGTTTTTTTTTTTTGTTCAGAAATTCAACAAGAAAGGGGTAAAAGAAAGGAAAAGGCAGAGGAAGAGGCAGAGTGGGATGCTTGAGATAAGGATTTCACTTTATGTGGCAGAAAAAAAAATAGGCTAATTGCCAAAGTATTTGCTTTGACTGCCAGTAAAACCAACACCCACATCCTCACATAACAATGGGCTAGTTTGGAATGAAGTGCTGTAACCTATTGCAGTCTTATTCTTAACTAAAGGTAATATAGCAATGTCTCAGTTTTAAAGTTACATATTTCACAGAAGTACTTGAAGATTAAGCAGATGCTTCAATCCCTAAAGACAAAAAGAAGTGAAATAACTGAAGGGAAGTGAAACAGACAGGGCACAGTGAAAAGAAGGGAAAGAAGTAAAACTGCCTGTGGCAAAGCTTCACTTTTTGTATTAGATGGGAGTGTGGATGTAGAATAGGTATCCATGTAGTAATACTGCTTGCAAACCAATGATGATAAGATGATGTTAGACTAGATAAGTCTAACTTCTTCCTACTCCATTCAAGCATGTACTAGGTATAAGCAAATTGAAAATATTTTTGTGGATATGTCTGGAATTACGTGTGATTACATACTGACTGTTGTTACATGTTTGAAAGAATAAATAAATCAAATCAAATCAAATTTCACAGTTAACTTATATGTTAATATATCCTATAAAGTAGCTCCAGGTCTCTTTTATAACTTACAGTGTCTCCAAAGCAGCTAAAAAAAGTGTATTTCCCATGAAATGTATTTCCACACTTGTCTTTTATCTGTTCAGCAGTCATTCTTGCAACCATGACTCAGCTGGAGAAATGCATGCAGGACCTTATGTTGATCTTCCACAATTACTCTGGCGAAGATGGCGATAAGGCAACCTTAAGCAAGAAAGAAATGAAGAAGCTCATTGAGAAAGAGTTACCCACCTTCCTGGCAGTAAGGATCTTCTGTCTTTTATCAAATCTGATCCCTCTCCTCAGTACTGATACATGCAGCCTACATACTGTATGTAACTTATTGCTCCTTCTTGAACTTGTCACCTTGAACATGTCTTTTGTTAACTTCATTTCAGGCCCAGAAGGACCCAAAGTTTGTGGATTCTCTCATGAAAGATTTGGACCAAAACAGGGATGATAAGATAAACTTTGAAGAATTCCTTTCCCTTATCTGCGGCCTCTCAATGGCCTGTGAGGAGTGTTTCAGGCGCAGTGAAAAGAAGGGAAAGAAGTAAAACTGCCTGTGGCAAAGCTTCACTTTTTGTGTCTGATTATTCTTTTAGTATATTATGTACAAGATACCTTTTTTGAATGAAGCTTTCTTGTAGATGCATCAAGTGTTTCTTTTTTTTTCTAAATATACTCTGTGTACCTAGTTCTTGAACACCTGGAGCTATTTTAGTCTGGAAGAGTTCTGCCAATCCCATAGAAATACCCGGGAATGAACTGAGAATATTGTTAAGGTCACATCTGATACACACAGCATTTCAGCTGTAAATCCTCCTTCAATATTTGGCTAAGGCAGCATTTAAATGGTTCAGTGTAGAAACATGTCAGGTGTGTGTGTGTGTGTGCTCCAAGGCCTGAGCTTGGATGTTTGCCTGAGTTCATGAGTTTGGGTTGTGCCAAATAAGCAAGCTTATAAATGCTTATGAAGGTCTATGGTTTTGGAGATCTCTTCCTCCAGTTTCTCTTGGTGTTAAATGTGCCACGCTTGTCTGTCATTTAAAACATGCATCACTGGCAGGCTTTATCATATGTATGAACATGCCTGAAGAAGCTCAACGCTAAGTGCACCAACTAACATGGAATTCCACAGATGTAAGCTGAAGGAAAGTGCTTGATAGCAGACAGCTGAATCAACATTAAAGTGCAGCCAAAAGGTATGGCACACTGTGGTCATGACTGACTAATGATTTATAAGGCCTGTAAACCTCCATGGGGAGATATTAAAAAGAGCACATCACTGTATTTTTAATGTTTAGGGACATATTATTCCAAAGCCTTCAGCACTGATTACAAAAGTCTTCCTTGTGTTTATACTCTGCTGGCATTCACCAACACAGATCTTGCTGCGAACAGGGGACACGCCAATTGTAAAATACAGGAAAGAGGGAAGTTGCAGAAGATGTAAAAATAATTTTAAAGCCAGCACTGAATCCAGTGGATGGTCTGGTATAAAAGCAACTAAATGGAATTCAGCCATCATCAGTTTTATCATTTATAGCTGTGCTTATCAAACATGCACTCCATCATTACTCTCAGACATACAGTGCACAACGTGTACTGAAGTTGCAAGTCTTGAAAAATGATGCAGTTGTATCAGGACACTTGAAACACCTAAATCGATAACCAATAGGTTTGTGCAGAGTAATAGAAGAGAAGCTACAGAGAACACCACAGGTCAGCAGAGGACATTGCAATTTCAATAACAGTGTCAGATGTTGCACATGTCAGTTGTCTTTTAATAACAGAATATTGTTTTAGCTGTTAGGGGGCAGTTTATCAAAGTTTAACCACTAATTGGAAATGAACACAGTTTTAGACTCCACAAGAAGACCGAAAAACTAATGTCTTCACTGAATAAAACAGGGACTTTCAATACGAATAAGATTACAACGGAACATACATTTAAACCTTTGGGAAGTGGGTGTTTATAGCTCAGCCAACGTGTCAGTAATTTGGTCTTTCAAGTAGGAAGCGATGTGTTGTGTCTAATTCGCCACTAGATGTCACTACACTAACTTACAGAGACGATGCTGTCTCACAACAAAGCAAAAACTTCACCCCACGCCCATCATTCTTTGTGAAAAATAGCATGTAGTGACTTGTCTTTTTGCTTTTCTGGTGGATAAGAGTAACTATTAAGAGACTACAGCCACAGCGCTCCACGGCAACTTGTTGGATTACATTAAATAGTTTATTATATGTGTTTTAAAAACTGGATTTAACACATTTGCTTCCAATACTGGATGGGAGTTATCTCTTTTTAATAGTGTTCACTTCTATGGTGCAGACTTACCACTGCAGGGGTACAGAACCTCTCCGGCAGTGAAACCGTAACTCCTGGCCCACCAGTGGAGCATATACAGATGAACTTCATAGTAATTAACACCACACTATCCTCTGTCCCTGTTTTCTTTGCCTCCCCTGCAGGTAGAATCTGATAGTATTCAATAAGTGAAAGTAATATGGCCTAAGTGAAGAGAGGCCAGCCCTGAGCTGTTTGAGCCAACCTATAAATGGACTTGGCAAGGGGGCAAGAGAAGAAAACAGTAATGCAGCCTTTCTGCTGCCTTGGAACACAGGAGTGGAAAAATTGAGGCTAGGTTATGTAACAGTCAAATGGCTGAACAGAAATGACTTGATTCAGAATCACAAGTTCAAGCAAACAGTGAAAACATCCACTGTGGCACGCTTTAGATTAATATCCAGCCGATTTTTAACTGCTGTTGATTTTATTTAGTTCAGCTGAACTGAAGCAAAACATTCACAGATACATGTAAGATTAATAGTAAATTGTTTCTACTGTGATCCATGATGATGGCATAAGTAATAAAAGTAAGTACTCTAAAATAATAGATGTGTTAGAAACATGCATTCAAAAGTGTATTCAGTATCTACTGAGAAATTAAATACATAACATTAAATACTTTATTAACTGTTCTGAAGCCAGAGTTGTGTAAATGAAATAAAAATGATGTGTGTGATAGAAGCTACAGTAGCATGAAGAGATGCTGACATAGAGAAAGATGGCATATGCACACAGCCCAACTGTGAGGACACTCCTTGAGATTATACATTCCCTGTAACCATCACAACTCAATGCCTAACACCCAACCCCAAACCTAATACCCAGCCTAAGCTTAATTTTAGCCTTAAACCTTAGCCTTCAAACAGGCCTGTGAAGTGTGTCGTCATCACAGTGGTTTCAAACAAAAAAATGTCCATACAACCATAGAACGACATGTACACATACACGCATGTAGACACAGCTAAGACTCAGCTACGTTTGGCCTGAGATGAACTTGTAACTTTCCATTTACTCTGACATATTTTCTCCAGAGGGCTACATTGAGCAGCTTGCCAGCTACAAAAAAAAGTTTCCCCGCCTTAGATGATTTTCTCCATCTGTAAAAGAATAGTTCATGCACAAATGTTGCGCACCCACTTGACACACAAAAACCCTTTTCTCTGTACACATACAGAAATCTAGTCCTTTGACAATAATAAAAATACAATATTAAACAGCTCAGTCTAAAGAAGCAACTTTGGGTGGAGTGAGGCACATAACCATGGCATGAATCATTGCTGGTGGTCTGTGTGTGTGTCAGGCAGTGTGTGTCTGCTCTTTAAGAGGAGGTTTTCCTCTCAGTCTGACAACAGTTCTGACGTGGGACAGCTGGAGATACGCATGTGATCTCTCTTCACTTGGTGAACTGAGGTGAGTACTGACATAAAATGAATTTTGTTGTTTTATGGAAGGAAAGAAAATGGCAGCATTTAATCCAGAGTCTGAGCATGACAGCCTGAAGGAGCAATGGCAGCAAGTGAGCAATGGAAATGGCAGAATGTTTTTTAAACTTGAGAGCATTTCATGCCAGTACTGCAAACACACATATCTCTGAGCAGGTGTCAGCCTCCTTACAGTGTTGAATTTGAAACTCTTACTTTTCATCCTATTTTTGGAGAAGAAAAAAACTGCCCCTAACTATTATTAAGATATTTCATAAGCCATAAAACTATTTTTTGTTCATTCTGTATGTTTTACTTGTGCTTACTTATACTTATCTGTTAATTACTCGCATTCAATAACAATGTATTTCTTTCCAGCTACAGCTATGTCGCGTCTGGATCAGGTCATTACCACCATTGTAGATATATTTTTGGAGTATGCTCAAAGTGATGGCAAGAAACACCAGTTAAACAAGGAAGAATTGAAGAAGATGTTGGAAAAAGAAATACAAAGCCCTGAGTTAAAAGTAAGTGATCGATATGTGCATCTACAGTACTCATAAAATGCTGTTACCCTGCTCGTTGTTCACCATTTATGTTTGTTTTGTGCATCTCACAATGCTCTTTAACTGTAAGAACCGATATTTCAGAGTAACATCAGCACAGGTGACATTGAGGAGATGATGGGGATGCTGGATAAAAACCATGATGGTGAGGTCAACTTCAGAGAGTTTTGTCGGTGTATCGGTGACCTGGCCAAATGCCACTATCACAAGAAGACAGGGAAGGGAGGAGGCAAGAGATGGCATGGCAAACAACAAGGAGGTGATCAGGAAGACAAATATGCAAACCCTTAAAATTTATTTTAAAATATTTTATATATATGGCACATAGGTATGTCATATGTGGCACTGCTGACCCTGAAAACCAATGCTGCAGGAATCCAGCCACCATCTCTCTTTCTTGTGTGCATGCAAAATGTGATATTCATTGTCTTTATCTCTGTTTAACCTGGTTTCAAAAAAGTTTCCATTCACTACTGACTAAATATTAATAAAAACTATGAAGTTTAATATGTTGTTGGCTCCCTCATCTGTTTATGGCAATCCCAGTGTGTGTTGTTGTTCAGCATCAGGTGTCATTAAGTGGAAGGAAACAAGTATTGTCACATTAAACATTCAACACACACCACCTGCTTTGTCCACATATCACTGTCAGAGCATCCTCAGTGCCAAGGTTTAGTCAATTCCTTTCAATCTTATTAATTGGAGTCACTGGTTTAAACCTTCTGCAATTCATTTAAATCCTGTTGAAAAAGTCACTGAAAATAACTTTTATATATTACTCAGTTCTTTTGTTCATCTTTCTCTCTTCCTTCTTTACTTAAGCCATATTTGTGCTTAAGTGCTTCAGCCATGATCAGACAAAGGTATCAAATACACCACATTTATATCATTTTATCTTAAACAAATTCTCTTCTTTAATAGATGATATTCTCAATGCATCCTCAATGCACAGTGGAATTATGAGTTATCATTTATTAACTAACAAGCACAGGAGGCCCTATATCTCTCTGAGGAAAACCACTATAGGAAGAGGGATTTATTCTTGAAGTATAGCTACAGTAGGCATAAAATACAGTAGTTTTGCTTCTGCAGTCAGTAATGTGAGATCCATTGCAGACTAAAATACACTAAAAATAGAATTACACAAAAATATACCAAGTATTCTTTGTCTGGAATGTTTAGGTTTATAGAAATCTCTACACTTCAGTTTTAATCAAAGCCATTCTTTTAAACTCACTAGAGATGCAGGAGTGAATTAGACATGATGTAAATGTGATTCTTGTATGATCATTTGTGTGGTGACTTGCTTCTACCTGACATACACAGGAACAGCAGTATTTGATACACTTGCTCCACCTGGCAGGCAGCAGTGAGAATGCAGTTATTCAGTTACAGCATATCTGGCAACAGTCAAAGCAACTACATGGACAAGCAATGGAAGCAATGAGGGTGGATGGCATTTTAAAGTCAAGGGTCCTTCCTCATAAAACATGTTTGTGACTATATGAGATGTCTAAGCACAAACCTTTTGACACAGGTATATTGTTGGAAGTGGACACATACACTACCCCCAAACTGTGCATCTGAAACATTTGACATGACTTGCCGTTGATAAACTGGATTCCAGACATTTTGCCATAATTACATACATTAAAAAAACTTCCAGAAAATAAACCAGAAATAAATTAGCATACAACGGTACTTTACTGTCAGCAATGCAGACTTGAATCTTTTTGAATATGCATGAGCTGCCTTATCTGTCCTCTTGCTGGCTAACCACATAAAGGAACATTTGGAATGTTATAGAGTCTGTTTTGGAAAAAAGTTTTAAAGCTTAAATATTGATCTTTGTACTGCCTTGTGCTGCAAGTTGCCTG